AAATGAGCAATTAAAGCTCTGAAAATTGCGATAACTGCACTTACTCAATAAAGATTTTTGAATACGATTTTCAACTACAATAAAAGAGAACTCACATAGTTTTGAAAGTATTATATTAACTTTCACCTAACACAATAAAATAAAAGAGACTGCAATATCGTAGTCCCGCTCCGATGATTAATGGCCGAGTCTGCAGCGAGTAAATAATCTTATAGAACGTTAGCCTTAGGACGCGTTCCCATTATGTCGTAACGTTTTATTTATCGTTGGACGACTGTCACGTCTAGCCTATGCCCACTAGATCGTGACGACAATTTATCGGTTCATGGCAGCGGTCTTGTTGTTTGCACGACAGAATCGTTTGAAGCTGTGATTGTCTCTCGTCACATTTTTATCGTGAAGTGTTATTTATAGTCGGACAACTGTCGTTCTAGCTCTTTCCATTGTCACGACAGTCACGAGAGTAGTCGTAACGTCAAAAACGTCGTGAACGACAGTTAATAGTGTTGTTCTATGTGTGAACAACTTCATTTAAATATACAAGCCACGACACTTTAAATTGCACGATTATCTGTTGTCACGACATAATGGAACGCGCCCTAAGATGATTACATACAGCAGTATTATGCAAAACATAAACATGCTAGTATAATAAAATTGATATTATATGACATAATATTGATCAATATTATTTTCTGAACTTTGATGATTTGATTTTGTCAATAGATGGCATTGTGTGTTACAAATTAATTTATAAATTAACGCTTATTACGCCCTAATATGGGTAGATGGCTAATCCTAGACAAAATAAAATAATAGGTAGCCGACAGTATTCATAAAAATCTGTGCAATAAGCCCCATGGAATTATATTATAGAAATTAGGGTAGTTTAGATAAATTGCAGCTTGTCAATGTAAAACAAATTAGTTACAATATATATTAATTACAATAGATATTTGGTGCTCGTCGCGACATCTAGAGTGCCAATAGGTACTAAATATCCGACTACGCTGTCTTGTATAGCGATTAACAAACATCTTGCATTATTGGTCCATGACGATACTGATGTATAAAAATATTACTGGCTGATGTAACGTTGAAAAGATAACTTTAATAAAGTCTTTTCCAATCCATTTTCAACAAAAAATAAACAAAACTGGTTAAAATTCTAAAATTGGCAAAAACACACAATAAATCGAATAAGAAACACTTTCACGTACTTTCGAAGATTTCGACTTGATATCTCATCTTTTTTACCCAACAATATTTATTTGAATAGCATCGTAAAATTGTATTTTGAAAAATGGTAGTCCAAAAGTGAGGTTATTTTTCATCTATACAACTATGACTTGTCTATGGTTGCATAGTGCTGTATGAAAAAAAAAACATTCAGTTCATTCAATTCAAGTTTTTGTAATCGATTGGTAAATCGAATATTTCAATCGCAATCGAACGAGTATCTAAGTGTAAGGATTTGAAGGAGGACTTAAAATTAAGATTTCGGAAATTTTAAATATGCTTACATACATTATGTAGGGAAAACTGCTAGCGATTCATTCAATTAATTAATTGATTTATAGTTGGCATTACAATTGACTCACATTTGATGACATACATTGATCACTAAACCGTCTATGGTCGGGTCAGTGACTTGTTTGTTTACATTTTGTTGAAAATGGATTGCAATGAAGTATACGTTATTGAGGATGAATTATGTTTTTATCTTCCAGGTTCGCGTCCACTGTATAAGGTTTTCACCAACAGGTGAAAGTTTCGCTGCCGCTGCCACCGAAGGACTCTTAATTTACAGTCAAAATGCCGGCATCGACGGATCATTTCGGTATTTTTTTTTTTTTCTAAAACGGTGTAAAATGAACGTTCTGAAAGTGTTGTCAGTCGACAAGCAGCTTATGATTGTAGTCGATAAACATATTCTATCGATTATCGACTGAATATTGTTAAGGCTTATGCAATAAATAGCCGAACTTGTACCACTTCAACGAAACGTAAAAAACTGTGTAATAAATATTGATGTCATCTTGGAAGAATAAAATCTTGCCTCCGTCCATCACGAATTGATTTCGATGCCAGTGGGCTAATAGTGAAAATAAGAAGAAAGAAGGCGATACTACCATTATTAGTCTTTAGAACGTTTCTCTGATTTATTGCAACTTAAAATCGTTTTTTTTTTGGAGTAAGCGATATTTAAGAATGTTTAATAACAATACTAAACCAGCACGTCGATGAAGGTTCACAATCTTTGTAAAACGTATAACGCGTGGCTGTCTATAGCTTAAACCCTCTCTGTAGAACAGATCCGTGTCCAGCAGCAGGACGTACGTTGATGATAACGATATGGCGCAAGTCATGAGAACATTGTTATAAAAATTGCTTTGGCAAATGTAAATGGTAGTATGTGTATATAGATGTTACACACTGCGGGGCACTGCCACTGCGCCTGTCACCCTGAACATAAATTGACAAGTCCCATGTGCCTGTAATTTCACCAGCACCCTTACCCTTCAAAACCGGAACGCAGTAATGTTCACATTATTGCTTGGCAACAGAAATAGGTAAGGTGGCAGTACTTTAGTACGGACGAACTCTTTAACAAGAAGCTCTACAGCTATTAAAAATCAATGCTGTTATGTATTGAACTTTTGAGATTGAGCCAGCGCACTTTACTTACAAAAAGTTTACATAGATGGAGTTACAATTCATGTTGTATATTGTGATCTTTACGATTTATATAATATTTAATGTCGTGGTCACCACTTTCCACCAGATGGAACCATCTGGCTGTTTGGCGTTTCGAACACCGTGTAATAAAAAAATACTGTTTTCAGGCCATACCGACTGGAATCAGGTTCCACACCATACGCCGTGAAACAATTGCTTCAGACAAGCTCATGGGGCCCGGCGCTGATAGGCGCCTTGCAACTCAACGAACATTCACTGATACAGGAATGCGTTGAAGCTGTACCACCTTCTGACAGTTAGTATTATAATTGGAATATTATAATTAGCTATCACGGGCAAACCTTGCGAATAAGTCTACTTTGTGATATTGATGGATCGCAATTGAGGGTATTTCTTGTGCACGAGACTGGTCTCTGGCGCACGAGATCACCAACATGTGGGGTGTGGTTGTCACTAATTAATCCCAGTCGGAGTAGCTAACAACTAGAGTCGGTTGGATTTCTTTGGTATGTTGCTTCTTGCAAAAAGCGATACTACACTACGTCACGTATCATTCGGCGGTTCTTGAACTTGAGTTCCTAGCCCCGGCTGACTATGCCATTGCCAGAGGTAGTCGCCTCTGGAGATGGGAGAACTGCCTCTGTGGCTGAAAGGTTACCATGCCGGACTGCCACGCAGAGGTCCCAGGTTCGATTTCCGGGCCGGGGGAAATATTTCTGTGGCCTACATTTATTTCTCTCGTAGGTCGGGGTGTAATTTGTGGTTGTCCATGTATGTGTCCACGGCACCCGCGACACAGGGTTTCCCTAGAGCGGGGCTATGTTGAGTGTGTGCGTTATTATTATTATTGATATACCACCCATTCGCACTAAGCGCTTTGCTGGCTCCTTTCGGATGCCATTTCCATTACTTTGCCGTGCCAAAGGAATGGCAAAGTACAATTTGGGGCTATTCAAGGTTAGAGTGAATAGGCATTTTTTAGGCAAACGTGTCGGCCACATCGTCCCTTAACATCAGGTGAGATTGTGGCCAAGCGTGTGTCTATTATTAAAAGAAAAGATAGTTTTGTGATGGCGACAGATTGCAACTTCTATTACCAACATGCGCACGGATAGTGTGTCCCGTCATTTGTATCATAAAAAAAGAAAACCTATGTTGATGTCATATTTATTTTTCTTATTTTTATATTATTGTTCATATTTGTTAATACGTATGTTTGAATGGAATTATCATATGGTTTCAGTTGAGCTAACAGTTACAAGCCTGGAAGACGATTACGTAGACCGCCTGATGACGCCACTGGCTCGACTGTTAGAGGACAGTCGACATCTGGAACACTTATTACTGTGGGTGCGAGCCATAGTGACCATTAAGAAGAGGAAGTTCCCGCCTAGCGCGCTACTAGCTCTGGAGAAAGTGCTTACTGTCAAATACTCGCAGTTAAGTAAAATGTAAGTATCCTGTGCTATCCATTAGTGAAGAACTGCCAACTTACCTATTTCAGCCGCCAAGCCATAGTGAGCATTACTGCGTTCCGGTTTTGAAGGGTAAGGGTGCTGGTGAAATTACAGGCATATGGGACTTCTCAAGTTATGTTTCAGAGTGGCGGGCACAGTGGCAGTGCCCCTCAGATCTTTGTGGTTTAAAGCTCTGAGTGCCATTGCAACTGTTAAGGACAGTACTTAATATTATATATATATACATATATATATAACATTGCATTCATCAAGTTCGTTTGTAATGTCAATTAAAATTTATAACAAATTACCAAACATAATAAAAACAGAAACAAGCGAAATAAAATTTATAAAAGCGTTAAAAACATATTTAGTGGCTACAAGTTACTATACAGCACATGAATACTTATATGATAGCGACATGTCCAATTAATAATATGCATAATTATAGTATATAATACATAATACAGATAATATGTTTAATAAATTATATTATTGTAAAAGAAAATTTATATTAGATAGATAGATAGATATATAACACGTTTATTCAGCACAAATACAAACAGAAACAAAACATTTACAATCACTTCACAGAGTATAACATAAAAGCACATAAAACATTCATTATTAATTTTATACACATTTATACAAAACACATATTGCGAGAAAAACAAATACTGTGAGAAAAACAAACAAATACTATAACAACTGATAAAATTTTAATGTACTTATGACTACAGTTAGTGCTGAAATAGCCCTGACACAGCATAAATACTGTAGACCGAGAGAAGTCAAACAGTGCTGGTTTTCTGCCAGTACCATATGGTGAGCGATCGCAGCCCGGTAAGCTATGTCACCAAAGTGCATCAGACGCAAATATATATACCTAACTCTAAATACTATACATATATATATATCAAGCAAAAGTGTAAGATGTAAAGCAAACAATGTAAATAGTGTAAGTAATGAAGGTGAGCAATATAAATAATAATGTAAGTTTACAAACATAAATTAAATTATAACAATAGCCACCAAATATGAGTATGTATAGGTATGGAAATTTAGGTTTACAGGTATCAAACGCATTGATTAGGGAAATATCTATGTAGCGAGACACATCTGCTCGGACAATAGATGTTTTTTGTATTCACGCTTAAATCGTTTTTTATTATTGATGTCACGCAATGGAGGAGGAATATTATTCCAGCACTTACTGGCGCGATACCTGAAACCGCCGCGAAAAGCAGTCGTTCTGTGTTTTGGGATGTTTATAAACATTTTAAGAAACTAATCGGAACTTATCCCCCCTTACACGTTGTGACCAATAAATCTTGTGGTATAGATAATCAGGTTTCCGGGTTTTAACTATATCAAACATTAGGCAGGCCAAATATAGCTTCTGACGGGCCTCAATTGTCAGAATGCCGAATCTGTTTAGATAGGGCGTGATATGTGTGCGAGGAGGAATTCGAAAACAATAGCGAGCACAAGAATTTAACACTCGCTGGATCAGTTTTTTCGAGTTTTTTTTGAGACATTAATACACCATAGACATATTAATGATTATGTTAAAAGAAACTCTACAAATTTAAGGCTTTATTAAACAGAATAAGGTTAGAATTAGTTTAATTTAACCAGATTTTGTCATTTGCTGTGCCTTTACAGGGTCCATAATGAACTTAATTTATATTACCTACCACCTTTTAAATAACATTATGGTATGCAATAAAGTATTGAGTATTGAGTACATATAAAAAACTATTAAGGAAAATTTATTATAAATCAATGATTAGACATATAGATGATACCAACGCATAGTGTACTTCCAACCATTCAATGTTTGTGATAACGTAAAAAAATCTCAGGTAAATCTGACCTACAAATGAGCAGTAGTTTTATTCGATGTGGCGATTTAAAGTGTAATTTCATTGCCTACGGAATGAAGATATTATTTGATTCATAATTTTTCACACTGAATAATAAATTAATTATTACTTTACACGTTTTTCACCACGGCATGTTTTTTTTGTTCTTCTCTCTACATTCACTGTTATATGGTCCTAGTATATTGTTTGACTGTCAAGCGATAGTTGACAGCTTTTAAAGACAGACATACCATGGGTAGATCTGTAACTAGTAATCGTTTTGTTGATAATCGTTTAGATATGATAGCCAAGTATAGAATCTATATGGGGATAGGCTCACTTTCTTTAAACTCGAATCACTGAAGGCACGTAGAACGAAGAATGACCAGGACTTTTTGTACAAGATCCTAAATGGCCAAATTACCAGTCCTGATATCCTGAACCAAGTCACATTAGTCGTGCCTTACAATTATCCCAGATGGAATATGTAGAAGCTACAATGATTTAAGAAGTACTTGTCCCCTTTGTCAGTATTTAGGCACAAGCTAACATCACATTTTAAATAATAATAAAATTAACACTAGTATGTAGTATTATAGAATATAATATTGTACGTGTATTTAAATGTCTATTAATCATTGTTTTTGTGTTCGCTTTCCTTTTTTTATTTTCAATTTATGTAAAAAATATATTGACCAAGTACTTTTTTTTTTAAAGCATTGTGTTGTTGTCGTGAAATTAAACGTTAAAGGCGTACTAGTTAACGTAATTATTATATTTTATTTAGTAAGTACAGTTAATATTATGTAATATTGTCAAATACATAGTAAAGTAGGTATAATTAAGTAGGAGTGCACATGTCGCCAACAAACTGTAAGGCAGTGTGGCGACTGGCGGTTTTAGTAAATAAGTTACCTGCTGTATTTTTCTTGAAATAAATAAAAAAAGAAATTAAATAATGTATAGTGCAGTGTATAGCATATTGAATAATGTTGTGTACATCTGTAATAGTCATATGCATTAGTTCTAGCCTAGTGTTTAATTTTTGTTGATTGTCAAATATATATACATATGATGTTGATGTGCCCAATAATAAATAAATGTTGATGACCACGAAAGCCATAAAATCTGTAGTGAAAATGTATCAATTTGGATTGTATATTCTGGTACTATAAATCAATAGAACATCGTCTAACACCTGATAGCAACGTACCAAACTATATTTTATCATGTGTTATCTAACTGTTGACCTTAGTAGGTACCTGTATCTGAAACACGAGATGGGCTTATCAATATATCCGCGATAACAAAACTGGGATGTTTGTTATGCATGATGGATTGGATTTGTGATGTAATTTTCACAAAATTAAAAAAAAAGTTTTATTTAATTTCGACTTTGTTCTGTAAAGTAATCTGTACTAAGTCGATGTAAAAAATGTTAATATTTTAAACAAAACGTATTTTTTTGGATGTATATTTATATGTATATCAAAACAAATAATTAGTCATGCCAAAATCCAAAATGCAAATGTGTGGATCCGGTCTCTTTGCCATGTCAATTAAAATCTCCAATAAAATACCCGAAAACATCAAACTCGAACAAGATACGTCATCATTTATAAATAAACTAAAAGAACTGCTAATACATAAAACTTATTATACAATTGGTGGATTTTTGAATGATGAAACATGAGTACATAAATAACCGTAAAATTATCTTTGAACATTTTTTTATGACATCACAATGAGGTTTTCCGTTTTTATAATTATTGACATTTACTTGTAATCAATTGCTTTTGACATATATTCACCTAATTTTTATCACGTTTTCGACGTGTGAATATTGTTTATTTTTGTTTTTCTTTTCTTCAAACATATTTTTTTATCCAATTTTGACCAGTGCATTATAAGATTAAATTGTTTGACGTCACTGTATTTATACACTTGTTAATGTTAATTATTGTGATCTAAATTTTTGTATTACTATTGACGTTATATTATAATAATTAGTTACAGTCTTAGTCACAGTTGTTCTTTTTTCTTATGTACCTCAAAGAGCATGTTATATATGAAATTCTCGGCGTATTTATTCATAATAAATACATATAACATCATAATGTATTGTAAATCACAACAGTTCAGCTTAACAACGTTAATTTTCCTATATTTCCCAATACCGGTTAGTTGGTCGATCTGTAGTTATGATTTTAGAATCAAACTTCAAAGTGTTACCTTCTTAATAGCTGTGAAGCTTCTTGTGAAAGATTCCTCTAGGGTAGTACTGCCACCTTACCTATTTCTGTGTTCCGGTTTTGAAGGGTAAGGGTGCTGGTCAAATTACAGGCACATTGGACTTGTCAACTTATGTCTCAGGGTGACAGGCGCAGTGGCAGTGCCCCTCAGGTTTTTGCAATTTAAAGCTCGCGATTGGCACTGCAACTGTTATGGACAGGCGTAGCTTACAATCAGGCTCACGACTTGTTCGTCCCGTCATTTGAAATTTATTAAAAAAATACTACAATTATTTTTCAATGTACTTAATTCAAGCTACGAATTCTGGTACTAACCGAAAACATGTTGTTTCAGCTGCGATTTCAACAAGTACACTATTCGTTGCATACGTACGGTTGCTAATATGGCGCCCAAACAAGAAATGAACATCGATATGGATACAGACAACTCTAGTGGACGAGGGACATTCTCTGACAGCGACTAAGCTAGTTTGTTTGTAAAAATACGACAATATATGTTTGGTTATTACTAATTGCACAATTTGATTTAACACCCCTCTCAACGCCCCCGTCGCCAACGCCAACATCGAGTATATAACCAGAAATAGAGACGAAATGTCATTTAATTTGTTTGAAAGTTATTCTGCCATATCATTACTATGACACGCTCCGATTGGTCAGCTCGCATTCGAAGCAATTGACGGGTGTCGTCAAATTGTTTCACTTCAAAACGATCAGTTTAACTTGAGCTTAGCTATAATGGACGAAAATTGCAAAATTACATATTTAATATTTAATTACCGATGAAATGTGATTCCGTTTGTTTTGTTATTAGATGTTTTGCCGTTTTTCCCACACCACCGAATAGAACAGCACGGCATTGTTAGTGATATTATCTTTATTACAATAAATACAGAATATGTTTTTGAATATACGGAGACGTACACACAGGTCAGTTGTTGGCGCTGTCTATATTTCAATGCAAACGAGAGTTGATATTTATAAGTGATGTATTACTAATGTGATGAGGTACCAGGAATGCATGGCCCTTATTTCGTCTCTATTTCTGGTTCTTATTCGATAGATAAATAGATAGATAGATAGATAAAATGTTTATTTATTACTACATTCACACGTACATAACAGCAAAAAAATAAAAAATAAAAACACAAAAACACAAACAAAACAAAAAATAAACAAAAACAGTAGAGTCGCAGCACTGCTAGACACCCAGTTATGTAAGTGTGCTGCAGCAGTGCAAAAAGGTCATAGCTCAGCGTCGGTGTTTACTCAAGAGCAAACCGCTGATTTTCAGCTATAACCTAGAGGTAATCGCGGATACAGTAATCAGCTCGCCGACGTCATTTTTCCATTTAATTATATTTAAACATATAATAATAATTAGAATAGAAACCAAATAAATAGGAAGATAATATAAATATAATGTTTAAAAAATAAATTAAAAATATTAGTGATTTAATTCAAATTATATATTGTACAATATATAAAAGAAAAATTAAGAAAAACAAGTGAAATACAGATATAAAAGAAAATTAAACTGTTAGTGGGTTAATCATGGTTTTAATACACAATATATGCAATAGGACTGGACTGGACTTCAATAGGCTGATGATGATGATATGCAGCAAATTTTCGCCACCTAAGCAAAGCTTTGTGAAATACCCTTTTTTTGACTGTCAAGAAGAAGTTCATTTACCTTTTCCTAGGAGAATCTTTTCCTTTCGATAGGAAAACGAAAAGAATCTTTTGCTTTCGATAGGAGATATCGATATTGATTCAGACAGCTCTAATCGACTAGACACTTTCACATTTTCACTTTCCAAACACTTTGTTTGATAAATAACAGTAAGTGCCGTGTCTACGTAAGAAACAGGAAAAATTGCCAAATGTGAAAACAGAATTAGCATTTAATCCTGGTTATGGTGAACTTTATTATATATGAGCAGTTGAGTACCTTCTGAGTTCATCCAGGGAAGTACTGCCACCTTAATCTGTATCTGCCGCGAAGCAGTAATGTGAGCATTACTGCGTTCCGGTTTTGAAAGGTGCTGGTGAAATTACAGGCACATGGAACTTGTCAACGTGTGTTTTAGGGTAACGGGTGCAGTGGCGGGGCCCCTCAAATCTTTGCGATTAAGTGGCACTGATAATATTTACAAACTCCATCACACTCACAATCTAACCGCCACAAATGTACAACGTTTAATGTTTAGATACATAATTAAATAAATAAAAATTACCTTTTATAAGGTGAAGAGTATTTGAATCTTTGCACTTAAGATGTATTAAATTGAAATTACCTAATTAAAAAAAATAAAATAGTAATTTGTATTCAGTAATCAGGAGTTCGAAAAAGACTACGATATCCTTAATAGCTCTTTAGAAGCTACGTCGTACTTACGATCTTTTTGTTAAAACGGCCTGAGCCCGTTCCACCAGTATTTAACCAATAACATCTCTGGTATTGGTTCATATGTCGTAAGTTGATCGTAGCAAAAAAATTAAGTTGACTGAAGCAAAAAATATTTCATTGAAATAAAAAATGTATTTGTGTGACCGTGTGTATGTATATCAGAGCGCATGTTACAATTTAATGACTCGTTGCGTGACGCACACGCATTGGGATTTTGATGTAATATACGCCAATTTGCGGTGACTTCGAAGTGTCATCTGTCATTTATGTACGTACTTGGTATGTACTTGGGATCGCATTAGCCTGATGTGTTTCTCACTTTAGATTTATAACGTGTGTGCCTTCCCACCTTGCTGATTATATTGTGTTTTCTTTGTGATTGATTACCTATCTCAATAATGCTTATCGATGCCCGGAGAGATTTAAGAAACTCTTATGAGCTGATATACAATTCGGTTCGAACCGATTTGTACGATATTCGTATGAACTTGAAAAAATGTCATACGAGATAGTGTTTAGACAAGTCGAAAACTCGTAAGCAAAAATCTCCTTACTACATATTTATCTGTGTAAAGGCCCATTTAGATGGAGAGAGTTTATCATCACAAAGATACGATTATCGAAAGAATATAAAAATCTTTCCTCGTCTAAACATTTGCGATTATCGACCGTCCACGTGAGCGATAATCGCCTCGCCTTTCAATATTGAACGTCTCCGTGTCAACAGAACTCGAAAGCCAAAATCGTGTTTCGAGTTTCTGTGCCAGCCGTTTCTACCACGAGTGCAGTGCGCGAGGGTGTTTTGATTATCACTGCTTTTCTAAGACAAGAATTAATGAAACGAGAACGAAAAAAAATTTGGATTAAGAAATGTTATAAAATTTGAAAAAAAAAATGTATATTTCTCTACAATGCAATGAACTTAATATTATCAGCAGTTCCAAATTTGAATGATTTTTGCGTCATTTCGATATGTCCATAGTCAATACCGCAGTAAACACTGAACTCGAATGGCGATTCTCGCACTCAAAACGATTCGAACCGATTTGTACGACCGTGTGCACCGATTTGATGTATGTTATATAATACAGCTTGATAGGATCAGTATTAATCAAGTCATACGATTCTAAAGCCAACTATTGGGAAAAACGCCATGAACTTTTTCCTTGACCTTATATAACAAAACATTTACATAGCGTGCTATTGCAGCTATGAGTTGAGACAAATTGTCCGCGAACACATCAGCAATCTGGGTGTGCGCTAGGAACTCATTCAGCATGATAATTGTCTTGGTGGTTGGCGCATTGTAACCTTGTAGAGTGCGCGCTCTGGGGATAGCAAAAAGGTTGCGAGCACGCCGTCCGCTACGGCCCACCGGGCTTATAAATCGATCAGGCACAAATGGACCCAGTCTTTCGAGAACGGAAGGGTTATCTATTTTATGGCGTATGAGTAGGCAGTAGTGGGTATTTACACGTACAGATAGGTAGGTGTTTTGGCAGTGTGAGTCGTAAAATTCGTCAAGATTTAAATTTGAAACGTAACCAAATGAAGCTTAGAGCACGAATTCGTGTGGAGTAGGCATCGAGTATATAACCAGTTAGTAGGTAAAGCGCAGGCCACACCGCGAACGAAGCTAAGCTAACTAAGCTCACGCTGTTGCATGCAAAGCTAAGCTAAGAAAATACGTAGTAAGTAGTGACGTATTACAGTATGGTTACGTGCGGGGGTCGAGGGCGGCAGAAGGGCCGACATATCGTCGCCTTACTTTCTTAAACTTGTACCTTAAAGCACACAAAAAATGCACAAAATGAATTGTATATACAAATTTTGCACGCTGTATTTACGTCACATTTCCGTTATATTCACACACTGGCTTTTATCTGTTTTTAAAGTAATCCATCCTAATTAAACCGCTTGATAAGAAATTTAAAATAAGTATAAAGTTTAAAAGTTTCAACTCTTTTCAAGACACGAGTTTGAGAACTTAAGGCATCGATATTTTACATAGCTTAGCGGGATCGTTGGGTTAGTTTAATTAGCTTAGTTCGCGGTGTGACTCGAAGCATGAATAGGTGCCCCGGCTTCGTTCGCGGTGTGGCCTGCGCTTAAGTCTATTTAGCACTTGTATGTCAGCGTAACGATTGTGGAAGCGGTATGTCAGTAAGTCATCATCATCTTTGTCACCACCATTATCACAATCTCCACCACAATCATCGTACATCCTTCTGCTTATACTTACAGTAAGTATAATTCCTGACAGTGCTTTGTTGACCGGTAGCGGATGTGAATAGGTAAAATAAAATTTAATGCACCACTGTTACACTTTATTAGCTTGAGCATTAACTTTGGGTCTAAATATAAATCTAACAGAATTATTATTTGGCCACATGGGCAATCCTCCAGAGCGCACTAGAGCGATCGTGCTGATCGCAGTTATTAACACTGCTGTCATCAAAAGCGCCCACGGCACGACTCGTATGTAGCTTAGAAGAGTGTGGGAAGTCTGTAAGTTTTCTATTATGGATGGTGGTATTTCTGCTCCCTGAAATGTTACCATAAATATATATGAAGGTAACAATTTAGTAGTGAAATAATTTTCACTACTTTTTTTTTATTTTGCATAATATTTAATTATCCACTTAAACACGAGAATATAATTTTAAGGATACCATTAAGTAATTTTTGAGAGATTGAAAGATTTTAGTATTAAAACCGGATTGTGACATTACCCACATTGTACAAAACCGGTAAAAGGTGTACATACCTCTTCGATCCACAGTAGAGGAAAAAGACCAGTAGGTACGTTGGCTACTTGCGGGGCCCCCGGCATCTGGCGGAGTTCTATGTTGAACTGCATGCGTTTAGCTCCTTTCAAAACGACACCTGTGACCTAAAATTATAGAATGTTATACTTATCAAATAATTCGTTTTAACATCCCGTGTAAGCTTGTTATAATTAATATTTTTTCAGAGGAGTTGCTATGTAGGAGGAGTTGCTGTGGCGAATTTAATGAAATGCTTTGTTTGGTGGAGCTTTCTATTAAATTGACATTTCATTTGTTTTTTATCTTTTTTCGTGACTGGTGTTAATTTTTTGGGCTGTAAGAGTGTACGGCGTAGAAGCTTTGGCAAGGCATAAAAAATTATGGAAACTTTGTATATTGATCGTGATTCAGAATGAAATAAAAATTACAAAATTATGACACTTCGGACGGAGACGATCTCGGTGGCTCCAATTTCCAATGGTTTACACTGTGAGCGCTGTACGAGACCCGGGTTCTTTACTGGTAGGATCAATTTGGGATATGACCGTTTCTAAATTTGTTTTGATCTGGGAGTTCTGGGAGTGTGAATTCCGTTGTTCTGGTATTTATAGTACAGGGAATTCCCTACTTTGGGCCCAGGCAATTGGTCAGATTGTCTGCCACGTTATTTATTGTTTTTCTTTTCTCTGGTCTTTGGCAGTTAATAGCTACACTTATTATTTATTATTTTGGATATTTATTTTACACTCTCGAGAATTATTCATCAAAGTCTTGATGACAAATTTTGTTTTATTTTCTCAGCTCTTTCTAGGCAGGTTTTAATTACAATTAGGGACTGAATTATTATTATTATTATTTTAAATTATAATAATAATTCCCCGGCATTGGCACAGCCGGTCGGGGTCAGGAACGCAGGTTCAAGAACCGGCGTAAAATACTTGCCGACTCGAGCCGTATTATTATTATTATTATTAATTATATCTATTTTAGACTCTAGCCTCCCCCAAGGCCTGAAAGATTAATTTAGATTTTTTAAATGGGGGAGGCGGTATACTCTGGCAATGGTAGGTACAGTCGGCCGAGGTCAAGGACTCATGTTCAAGAAATATCGAGCAAGACTGCCTTCTGCATTTGTACTAAAAGCGACACGCCACAGAAACCCAACCGCTTCAAGCTGTTAGCAAGGGTGACTGGAATTAACCCATTTGTAAACAAAACAATTATTATTATTACAAAATATACTACTAATATCTTTTCCTTATGATGTGCCAGTAATTAAAACAGTGCCAACACTACGTTCCTTCACCTTATTTAGGTGGTACCTGTATAAAGAAAGGTGCAAAGTAAAGTGTCACTTTTAATTAAATGCCTACGCAAGTGCCGTTTTCCACTAACCGCGTGTTTTCCACTAAGCGTCAATATGGATATGGTATAATGACTTAGTCGATAAATAAGAGTTGCGCGCGGCCAGCTACTCGCGACTAGCCGCTTAGTAGAAAATGTGAGTAACGCTGGCTTCTGCATCACTTGACGAACTAAGTCAGAAGGTAAGTAATAAGGAATCCAGAGTAATCATCAGGTGATGATTCCTGAAGACTTTTTTATAAGAATTTGCTTAAAAATATACTTTTTGTATTGATAAAAAGCAATTGTAAAATCTGTATAGCCAGCACGACAAAGCGCGATTTGCTTGAGAGCGACATAAGACGTCGTCTTCATTTAACGCGAGTACGCGATCATCGCGCGATAATAGAAAAATGAAAGGTTATCAATTTTGACACCTATTCCAACATCAATAGGCACTATGTTTGATCGTGCGTTCGTACGAGCGAAGTTCACGCGAATAGATCTCAAACATTATAGACGCGCGATACGGCAAATTAGACACCTATTCCAGATCTGTATCTTTGATCGCAGGTTCGCACGAATGTTGCGTAATCGCGTTCAATTAGGACGACGCCTTAAGCGCGAGATACTGTTGTTCCCGCATAGATAATGGCAATATATTGCTCTTCTATGCTGCTGTCGCGCAAGCCTCGCTGGCGCTACTGGTTATGCTTACTGGGTCCAAATAAACATAGGTGTTGTGTTTTTCCTTATCGGGTTTGATGTCGCTGTCAGCGTGGAAGTACTGCAATAGCTCCTCTGAAGCGAGGTAGAAATGTGGCAGCGAAGCGATTGCTGGGGCTCCTTGGCAGGGTTCGAGATTGAAAACGCCCATTAGGAGGCATCCGTCGTGGCTGCCACTCCAATTCCTGTACAATACGAGTTCGTGAAGTTTGACAAGTAGCTTTATATCTTCGGTCTCATAAAGAAATAATCTTTCAAAGCTTTTTCGAAGAAGTGCCTCATACGTCTATGGAAACAGCTTTAAACCTATGATTATTAAGAAACAAAATGTTTTGCATATACGTATACAGGCTTATTCTTAAAATACTAACAACCTCGCAGGACTATATATATGTATATTACTTACATCATAAATAAGAAATTTTATGTAAATATACATAATGAAATGTAACGCTCGAAGGCTCAACTCACACCGGCGCAGTGTCGAAGCGTCGCGACGCATCATGTGTGAAAAAAGACATATTACTGCTATAATTTTGAAAATGGAGTAAAATAAGTTGCCCGCTTGCAAACAGCCAGTGATTGCGGTTGATAAATATTCTATCGACTATCCACCGAATGTTAGTCACGCTTATGTAATAAATAGCCGAAGTTGTTTCATTTTAATTGTCATTTTTTGTGAGTTCAAACATACCCCGAATTATCCTGCATTTAGAACTGTCTTAATCTATTAAAAATAATAGGGGTTAAAGTATGAAATTGCCGATTTGTACTGAA